AAAGAAGCTACTTATTTTCTGAGAAACGATAAAGAATAAATGTATAAATTTCTATAAGCTGAATTCTTAAAGGATAAACAAATTCTTTTTTAAATAACTAAATTAATTTTAAATAACTAAATTATTATCAAATAATTTAAAAAGAGACTATAAATTAATACAGTTTGAATTGAAAAAGAACTAGCAGGTAAAGTGTTAAGAGATAATATGTTTGAAATATATAGTATTAAATTTGAAGCTCTTAAGTGAATGATTCCTTGCAAATCTGGTCAAAGAACAAAAATTTGAGGGGGCTGAAAATGGATAAAGAAACCAAAAAATTGTCTACCAAAAGTAAAGTGCCTGGGTCTCGCATTACACAAATTGTTCCCAGATAACATTTGTTTATTGGGCAAAATTGACTTTGTGCCAAGTACTACACTAGGCTTTTTAAAAATTCACTAAGTAAAAAATTCCACAGAGCTGGTTTTCTTATCTTAGAAGAAATTGGTACTGAACAAAATAGGAAAAGAACGTGAAGCACATGAAAAGAAAAAAATATTCTTGAAAGCTAATCTAGTATAATTACAGTGGCATGGTTGGGAACATTTGGTCCGTGGGCCTTGCCAATTAAACACGTTAAATCTGGCCCCAAAGCGTCCATAATTTTTATCCTAAATTCTCTGGAGTTTGTGATTATAGATATGTTTCTAAGCTTTAAATGACTTTCCTTGTTTATCTCCTTGTATGCTTGTAGTTGAATGAAAAAAAAAAAAAAAGAATATTAAGGTTTGTCTGGTTAGTTTTTCAATAAAAACTCAAATCCTTACCTACTTGTTAATTTCAAACCGCATCCTACATTTTGATTTATTTTTACATCTTTTTTTGTCTTAATAGATGGGGCAATTAAAGCGTCAGGAAGTTTTTTACTTGCTCAGGGTCACACAGAGCTAGAACCTGGGTCTTGTCCCTCTGAGCCCTGGTTCTCTCCTTCTGACCAGACTGCAAACCCAATAGTTAACCACTGCTAAGAGATTATACTTAGAGAAAAAGATGTTTAAGTAGAAAATAAAAAAATTGGGAGAATGGCGAGATTTTGTTGAGTAGAGTTGCTAATGTGAAGTGCCAGGCTTATTTTCAAATAGCCAACTCGGATTTTTCAACTAATCATAATTTTATATAGTAAAGCTGTAGTCTAGTAATAAAAATGAAAAATTTATTCAGCTGTATGGTATAATAGTGTCAAAAAGAGACCAAACCTCCAGTTTGGAACATTTTTCAAGAGCGTGTTTCTTATTGTGGTGTTGTGATATTAAATGGAGATTTGTGACCCCACCCTGGAATCACAGTCTGCAGCTTTAGGAGCTGCTCGTGATCCTGGTGTGCACTAAGGTTGTGAGTGGCTGCCCTGAGGTGTACTAGCAAGCTTGGTATTGCACAAGTGTGCTTCATTTGATCTCCCTTTTCTTCCCAGCCCCAGGGTAGCCTCTAGAACGGTTCATCTATTCCCTGCTGTTGCCCTCATGACCACTTGGACAGTTAGTTAATCTCTCCTAACATCACTGTCTTCATCTGTAAAATGGGAATAACATTAGCACCCAACTGACAAAGTTGTGATGAGAATCACTAGTGAGATAATGCATCTACAGTGTTGAGAGCAATGCCTGGCACTTAGTAAACACTAAATAAATGATAGTTACTATCATATGCATGAAGGAGCCCTGGTGGCACAATGGTTTGCAGCAAACCAAAAGGTTGGTGGTTCAATAAGAAAGGAAGGGATACTTCCAAATTCATTCTATGAAGCCGGCATAACCCTGATACCAAAACCAGGAAAAGAAATCACAAAAAAAATTACAGACCAATATCCTTCATGAATATAGATGCAAAAATTCTCAACAAAATTCTAGCCAGTAGAATTCAGCAGCATATCAAAAAAATAATACATCACGACCAAGTGGGATTCAAGGATGGTTCAACATTAGAAGATCAATGCAATCCACCACATAAATAAAATAATCACATGATCATCTCAATTGATGCAGAAAAGGCATTCAACAAAGTCCAAAATCCATTCCTGACAAAAACTCTCAATAAAATAGGTATAGAAGGGAAATTCCTCAAAATAATAAAGGCATCTATACAAAACCAACAGGCAACATCATTCTTAATGGAGAGAGGCTGAACGCATTCCCCTTGAGAACAGGAACAAGACAAGGATGCCCTTTATCACACTCTTTGTTTAACATTGTGCTGGAAGTCCTAGCTAGAGCAATAAGACAAGAAAAAGAAATTAAAGGGCATCCAAATTGATAAGAAGTAAAGCTGTCCCTATTTGCAGATGATATGATACTCTACATAGAAAACCCTAAAGACTCCACAAGAAATCTACTGGAACTAATAGAAAGATTCAGCAGAGTAGCAGGATACAAAATAAACATACAAAAATCAGTTGGATTCCTATACACCAATAAAGAGAACGATGAAAAGGAAATCAGGAAAGCAATACCATTTATAACAGCCTCTAAAAAAAATAAAATATTTAGGAATAAATCTAACCTGGGATGTAAAAGACCTATACAAAGAAAACTACAAAACACTACTGCAAGAAAACAAAAGAGAACTCTGTAAATGGAAAAACATACCATGCTCATGGATAGGTAGACTCAATATCGTGAAAATGTCAATTCTACGCGAAGCAATTTACAAATACAATGCAATCCTCCAAATACCAACAGCATTCTTAATAAAGAGATTAAAAAACTAATCATTAACTTTATATGGAAATGAAAGAGGCCCCAGATAAGTAAAGCACTATTGAAGAAGAAGAATAAAGCGGGAGGACTCACACTACCTGACCTCAGAACCTACTGTACAGCTATGGTAGTCAAAACAGCCTGGTACTGGTACGACAGACACATTGACCAATGGAACAGAATTGTGAACCCAGATGTAAATCCATCCACCTGCGGTCACCTGATCTTTGACAAAGTCCCAAAGTCCATCATATGGGGAAAAGACAGTCTTTTTAACAAATAGTGTTGGCAAAACTGGATGTCCATCTGCGAAAAAATGAAACAGGACCATACCTAACACCATACACAAAAAGTAATTCAAAATGGATCAAAGATCTAAATATAAAACCCAAAACTATAAAGATTATAGAAGAAGAAATGGGTCAACGCTAGAGGCCCTAATACACGACATAAACAGGATACGAGCCATAACTAACAATACACAAACATCAGAAGATAAGCTAGATAACAAAAAGAAACAATCTTTAATGGTTATGAGGGAGGGGAGGGGTGAGGATGGAAAAAACAGTAAATAGACAATAGATAAGTGGTAACGTTGGTGAAGGGTTAGACAGTACACAGTACTGGGGAAGCCATCACAACTTGACCAAAGCACGGTCATAGAAGCTCCATAAACACATTCAGACTCCCTGAGGGACCAAATTGCTGGGCGGAGGGCTACGGGGACCCTGGTCTCGGGGAACATCTAGCTTAATTGGCATAACAGTTTATATTAAAGAAAATGTTCTACATCCTTCTTTGGTGACTAGCATCTGGGGTTTTAAAAGCTTATGACTGGCCATCTAAGCTACTCCACTGGTCTCACCCCGTCTGGAGCAAGGGAGAATGAAGAAAATCAAAGACACAAGGGAAAGATTAGTCCAAAGGACTAATGAACCACAAGTACCAAAGCCTCCACCGGACTGAGTCCAGCACAACTAGATGGTACCGGGCTACCACCACAAACTGCTCTGACAGGGATCACAATAGAAGGTCCTGGACAGAGCTGGAGACAAATATAGAACAATATTCTAACTCACAAAAAAAAATACTTAGTAGGTCTGACAGAGACTGGAGAAACCCCAAGAGTATGGCCCCCGGACACCCTTCTACCTCAGTACTGAAGTCACTCCTGAGGTTCACCCTTCAGCCAAAGGTTAGGCAGGGCCACAAAACAGAACAAGACTAAATGGGCACACCAGCCCAGAGGCAAGGACAAGAAGGCAGGAGGGGACAGGAAAGCTGCTAATGGGGAACCAATGTAGAGAAGGGGAGAGAATTGAAATGTCGTGGGTTGTCACAAAACAATATGTGTATTAATTGTTTAATGAGAAACTACTTTGCTCTGTAAACCTTCATCTAAAATACAACTAAAAAAAAATAATTCCAGTTAGCTTTCTTAAAAAAAAAAAGGTTGGCAGCTCCGTGGAAGAAAAGACCTGGAGACCTGCTCCTGTAAAAGAATACAGCCTAGAAAACCCTATAGGCAGTACTACTCTGTCACACTGGGTCACTGTGAGTTGGAATCTACTTCAAGTCACCTAACAACATACATACTTTTTCAAAACCTGATGCTTTTTAAAACATTTATTTCTTCTGCTGAGTAATGCAGTGTCTGGTTTTAAGTAATTCTTTGCTTAAAAAGGTTATTGAATTGTCTGCTCCCTCCTTTTTTTGTACCCACCGTACTTCGATTATACAACTATGGCAGGATCTGGAACACTTCATTTGCATTTATTTACATATCCCTCTCCCCACAACCCAAGGGTGGGAACCAGGTCTTATTCATTGTTGAAATCTCTAGCACAGTACCTATCAATTGGCAGCAAAATCACGTGTTTGATGCCTGAGTGAATTTGAGCTGATAGTCAAAGAACAGATATTTATCAGACACCGACCAGGTGCAGGATCCTTAAACCTCATAATATCAAGCCTAAAGATGATTTTGTTATAGACTGTGCCCTCAAAGAAGCTTACAGGCTGGAAGGCAAGGTAAGAATAAAAATAGTTACTTTCTCCCTTGTGCCTTAATGGAAATACTGAGGAAGTGCTAGGGGAACTCAGGGAGATGATGATGGAAGTTGATTATGTATATAAAATCAAGATGAGCTGAGGGAAAAAAACAAAACTAACCAGTAATCACTTAGAAGTCCTGAGCATGTTGCTCAGTAACTGTAAAGTTTGCTTTTCCAGAGAGCAGAGTTGACATTGTGGTGTCTGTCCTAGGTACTCTCCTTTTTCTTCATTGGTCTGATGTCCGTGATGATTCCCCTCTGTAGTGTCTTTGGGGCCCTCATTGCTGTCTGTCTCATCATGGGTCTCTTCGATGGATGCTTCATCTCCATCATGGCTCCCATTGCTTTTGAGTTAGTTGGTGCCCAGGATGTCTCCCAAGCAATCGGATTTCTACTCGGATTCATGTCTATACCCATGACGGTGGGCCCACCCGTTGCAGGTAAGTGTAATCATTCTCCAGGTATTATATTAATTCATAGCATTTTCCACTTTAGTTCCTAAGTTTCACTTATATGTAAAACATATCATATCACAATTTATTGATTATTGGTCTTTTGCTTTTGTGTGTGCCTTATGTATAACATCTTTAGAAAGACCAGCTGTAGAAGAGATTTGCTGGGGAGTTCTTCTTATCCTTGCTGGCATCTAAGATACTTTGTAAAACACCTAACAGTAAGCTTCTGGGCTTTGCGCTTTCACAGGTCCTGTATTTCACTTACTGTGTGCTTTGGGGAATGGGAAAATGGCTTCTCTTTTTTAAAGATAAAGATTCTGAAAGATTTCTAAATATGTATCTTATAAATGCTTTATGTAAGAGATAATATCTCCCTGAGGGGTAGCTGATGAAAAATAACATTTAGTGTAAATAACCCAAATTTCCGTCAATGGATGAATGGATAAACACATTGTGATATATATATATATATATGTATACATACATACACACATAGGATATTATTCAGCCATAAAAAAGAATGAAGTACTGATACATACTACAGTGTGGATGAACCTTGAAAAGATTATGCTAGTGAAAGAAGCCAGACAGTAAAGGTCACATATTGTATGTTTCTATTTATGTGAAATATGCAAACAGGTAAATCCATAGAGACAGAGAACAGATTGTTGGTTGTCAGTGACTAGGGGAAGGGGGAATAGGGAATAGCTGCTTGATGGGTACAGGTTTTCCTTTTCGGGTGATGAAAATGTTTTGGAACTAGATAGAGGTGGGTTATACAATGTTGTGAATTACTAAATACCACTGAATTGTTCACTGTACCTCACAGGAAAGGCCTGGTGATCTCCTTCTAAAAAATCAGTCACTGAAAACCCTATGGAGCACAGTTCTACTCTGATACACATGGGGTTGCCATGAGTTGGAATTGACTCGATAGCAACCTTTTTTTTTTTTTTTAAAGTATATGTTGTAGCTTTGGAAATACCTAAATGACGGTGTAAAGATGTCTCAAGTTCAGTATTACTTGGATGCCAGTGTCAATTAGTATTGTAACAAGATTCAATAAAATTTAAATGTACGTATTGTCACCTGTTTTTGGCATATGAAGGCATCAGTGGAAGTTCAACTCAATGCATTCCCATATTGAGAACCACGTATATCTAGCAAATTCACCATTGGTGAACCTAGTCAGAAATCAAGCAAGCAGTCAGTACTGGGCAGACTAAATAGATTCCATAGAGTTTATATTCTAAAGGTCACAGTTCTCCCTGAAGGAGAACTTTCCACTTTTTCTCTTCTCACCCAGGCAATACACCGCTCATTCTTATTTTTACACCCTACAAGCTTAGCTAAAGAGCCCTGGTGGTGCAGTGATTAAGCACTCAGCTGCTAACCAAAAGGTCAGCGTTTTGAACCCACCAGCCACTCCATGGGAGAAAGATGCAGCAGTCTGTTCCCATTTTACAGCCTTGGAAATCCTGTGGGGAAGTTCTACTTTGTCCTGTAGGGTCGCTCTGAATCAGAATCGACTCGGCGGCAAATGAGTTGAGTTTGACAAGCTTTGTTATAGGGTTTCCAACTCCACAGTAGATTACAAAACCAGCATTTTAGCAGGAATGATGTTTGCTACCACAAGTGACTGATAACAGACCAAGAATAAGGAGAGGTAACAGGAAACTTCCAAAGCAGGCAGAATAACAACACATAGCAAGACACAGCAGAAAGCCTCAAGCTCACCAGAGGTTCTGGGGGCATCATGGTATTACAACAAAATATAATAACTAGTGTTTCTAAGGGTGAAAGGCTCGGGTATATATGGAATATTCTCATTTAAAAAGATAAAGAAATTGTGTATTTCAAGTATATTATGTATTTAAAGATACTGTGTATTTTAGATTTCTATCCAGAATGAGTATGTATATATTTTAATATGTTGGTAGTTGACAAATCATCAACTATTTATTTAGCAAAGTCAGATATTCAGTACAATATGTTCCTTGGACATTGAGATAACTGAGGTCTTACAGTAATTATTAGAGTTTAAAAACACTAAGATAACTTAAAAAACCCAGAGTACTGGATTTTGTTAGAGAAATTAGAAATAAGGAGCACACTAAATAAGTTTTTAGAAGCAGAGCCCAACGATCTATTAAAGTGCCGCACATAGATTCTTACATTTTCCTCCATTTGCTGACAAACCTTAGTGTCTTTCCAAAATGTATTTAACAATCTAACTTTTTCATCCAACTCTTAGATTTATAATTTTGCATGATTTTGGATTATAATTTAAAATGGTTTCATGTTATTTCATTTAAAAAAAAAAAGGCTCAAGATTGGTTTGAATTGTAGACATTTTGAGTGAGGAAAGTTTCATCTTGATGGTCTGTCCAACTTCTGCTGAAGCAGAGACTTTTACACCATGTATCAGAATATCCCAAATGGCCTCTGAGGGGTTTTCAGAAAGCCAAAGCTTTTCCTTGCAAATATTTCTAACAAGTAATATCTTGGTATGAAAACTTAGAGGCCTAGACTCTGTGACAAGAGTAAAGATAGGAGATCTTCGTATCAGAAAAAGTTTGTTTCAGACCCATTTCCTTAAGAAAAAGTTATTTCTTTTTCTGATATAAAGATCTCCTATCTTTACTCTTATCACAGAACAGTATGAAATGTACACACTTTGAGTTTTGTGTGAGAGAGAAGTTTCATCTTGACAGTCTGTCCACCATACCTGAGATGTAGTTTGAACCAGTTCTCCTGAGGTGACATTATTAGCTTGGGACTAGGCCGGACTGATCAGAAACCCCAAAGAGTTCCACTATTATCTGTTGGTGACAGCTTTTTCCCTTCTCAGGGTTACTTCGTGACAAGCTGGGCTCCTATGATGTGGCATTCTACCTTGCCGGACTCCCTCCCCTGATTGGAGGCGCTGTGCTTTGTTTTATTCCATGGATCCACAGTAAGAAGCAAAGAGGGATCAGTAAAACCACTGGAGGAGAAAAGATGGAGAAAATGTTGGAGAACCAGAACTCTGTGCTATCAAGCTCATCCGGACTCCTCAAGAAAGAATCTGACTCTGTTATTTAATGTCTTAAATACCTGCATCAGACTGGACTTGCTTTCAGGAGTTAAAGCAAGTTTTCCTTTTATATGAATTGCAAATTTCTTATTTTTTTAAATAACATCCTAGGAATAGCACAGTAATTGGGAAATAGCACCCTTATTACTACAGAACCATTTTTGGCCACGGAATAGCTGATATCCACGAGTCTGAGGGCAGTGACTCTGATACATGAAAACATGTCTGAAAGTCAAATTATATTTAATTGTGAGAATTTGAAGCTGTCAGTAAAAAGCAACTTTGGAAACTGTGAATGCTATTTAGCTTGTACAGATATTTAAAAATACCTCAAGCTGTACTGGACTGGAAATACTGTTTGTTGTCTCACTGGGTATCTTTATCTGGTACCTTTGTTTTAACTTCTGTTATTTGGAAACTTTTTACAAAATTTAACCCTGAATTCTGTGTAACACCAGATATACTTAAGCCTCAAGTCTATGTTAAAGTTACTTGCCTACTGTTAAATAAGCTATGAAATTATTAAGATATCCTGACTTGCTGCAGTGTTGAGAGACCTTTCTTGGAGCAGATGCTAATGATGTATTCAGCATCAACATGTGAAATGAAAGGTTCTTGTTCATAAAGACAGAACAGTTCAGAAATCAGGCATTCTTCCATTTATGTTTGTTTACTTTGAGTTTGTAGTGTTTTACTCAAGTAGTCAGAAACACCTCAATTTTCTGAATTTGTTTATATTGTAATAATAAAGTAAAATAGAATGAGTGAAAGATATTCTGGCAGTTTTAACTTAGAATTTTTCTGACTTCTGGATTTGTTAGCACTGTTGTTGCTGTTAGGTGCTGTTGAGTCAGTTCTGACTCAGCGACCCTATGTACAACAGAATGAAACACTGCCCGGTCCTGCGCCATCCTCACAGTCGTTGTTATGCTTGAGCACATTGTTGCAGTCACTGTGTCAGTCCATCTTGTTGAGGGTCTTCCTCTTTTTTGCTGGCCCTCTACCAAGCATGATGTCCTTCTCCAGGGACTGATCCCTCCTGATAACATGTCCAAAGTATGTGAGACATAGTCTCACCATCCTTGCTTCTAAGGGGCATTCTGGTTGTACTTCTTCCAAGACAGATTTGTTTTTTCTTTTGGCAGTCCATGGTGTATTCAATATTCTTCAGCACCACCACAATTCAAAGATGTCAATTCTTCTTCTGTCTTCTTATTCATTGTCGAGCTTTCACATGCATATGAGGTGATTGAAAACACCATGGCTTGGGTCAGGAGCACCTTCGTCTTAAGGTGACATCTTTGCTTTTTGGCACTTTAAAGAGATCTTTTACAGCCAGTTTGCCCAATGCAGTGGGTCTTTTGATGTCTTGACTGCTACTTCCATGGGTGTTGATTGCAGATCCAAGTAAAATGAAATCCTTGACAACCTCAGTCTTTTCTCCGTTTATCATGATGTTGCTTATTGGTCCAATTGTGAGGATTTTTGTTTTTTTCATGTTGAGCTGTAATCCATACCGAAGGCTGTGGTCTTTGATCTTCATCAGCAAGTACGTCAGGTCCTGTCCACTTTCAGCAAGCCAGGTTGTGTCATCTGCATATCACAGGTTGTTAATGAGTCTTCCTCCAATCCTGATGCCCCACTCTTCTTCATATAGTCCAGCTTCTCGGATTATTTGCTCAGATTGAATAGGTATGGTGAAAGGATACAACCCTGATACATGCCTTTCCTAACTTTAAACCACCCATTATCCCCTTGTTCTATTCGAATGACTGCCTCATAATCTATGTACAGGTTCCTCATGAGCACAATTAAGCGTTCTGGAATTCCCATTCTTCACAGTGTTATCCATAATTTATTATGATCCACACAGTCAAATGCCTTTGCATAGTCAATGAAACACAGGTAAACAACTTCCTGGTATCCTCTGCTTTCAGCCAGGATCCATCAGACATCAGCAGTGATATCCCTGGTTCCACGTCCTCTTCTAAATCCGGCTTGAATTTCTGGCAGTTACCTGTCAATATACTGCTGCAGCCACTTTTGAATGATCTTCAGCAAATTTTTACATTCTGTTGGATCACCTTTCTTGGGAATAGGCATAAATATGGATCTCTTCCAGTTGGTTGGCCAGGTAGCTGTCTTCCAGATTTCTTGGCATAGACAAACGAGCACTTCCAGTACTGCATCCGTTTATTGAAACATCTCAGTTGGTATTCCATTAATTCCTGGAGCTCTGTTTTTTGCCAGTGCTTTTAATGCAGCTTGGACTTCTTCCTTCAGTAACATCGGTTCCTGATCATATGCTACCTCCTGAAATGGTTGAATGTCGACCAATTCTTTCTGGTATAGTGACTCTCTGTATTCCTTCCATCTTCTTTTGATGGTTTCTGCGTTGTTAGATATTTTGCCTATAGAATACTTCACTACTGCAACTCGAAGCTTGGATTTTTTCTTCAGTTCTTTCAGCTTGAGAAATGCCAAGCTTGTTCCTCCCTTTTGGTTTTCTACCTCCCGGTCTTTGCACATATCATTATAATACTTTACTTTGTCTTCTCAAGCCACCCTTTGAAATCTTCTGTTCAGCTCTTTTACTTCATCATTTCTTCCTTTCGCTTTAGCTACTTGACATTCAAGAGCAGGTTTCAGAGTCTCTTCTGACATCCATTTTGGTCTTTTCTTTCTTTCCTGTCTTTTGAATGACCTCTTGCTTTCTTCACGTATGATGTCCTTGATGTCATTCCACAACATGTGTGGTCTTCGGTCATTAGTGTTAGCAGTAGGACCTGATATTTAAACAAAAGCATTATTGGGCATGTTATCCAGTTGCAGTTACAAATGGAGGGGGGAAAAAACTCAGTTTGTATTCATGAAGAAAATACCCATTTCTGATAGAAATAATTGCTTAAACTTGTTTATGATTTAATTGGTCTTAAAAAGCTAAAAGTACTTATAAAGAGAAACAATTCCTAGATTTCCAAACTTTATAGCAAAAGTTGGCATTTATATTTATTTTATTTATCCTAGCATGCATACCATTAACATCCCCATTATTTATTTTTTTGTTTGTTTATATGTAGAATATCATCAGTTATTAGAGTCTCAAAAAACGCATTGCTGTCAAGGCAATTCAGACTCATAGTGATCCTATAGGATAGAGCAGAACTGCCCCATAGGGTTTCCAAGGCTGTAACTGCCACATATTTCTCCCATGGAGCAGCTAGGGGGTTAGAACTGCGGACCTTTTGGTTAGCCACTGTACTACCAGGGCTTCTTTTAGAGTTTCAAGGACCCAAAATTAAAACCAAAGTCATACCATCACCCATACTCATTTACAAAGACAGAAATACTTTCATTATCTCTTATACTTTAGTATATTTTTGTTTTTTTATTTATATCATCAAAAGTTAATAATATGCAAGGTATATTTAAATCCTAACTGCAGATGTACATTAGATCTTTCTCAAATGTAGCTTATTCACCTGGAAAGAATACTGTCTTTTTCTAAAGTACGTCCAGGGTCTGTTTCTAAATTCCATGTAAGAAGAGGAAGCTTAATATATCATCTCACTACTTTTCTTTTCAGCTCCTCGCCTCTGAGAGGCACAGTCCTTCCTTTCTTTGTCTCTAGCTGAGGATAGAGATACCTGGATTTGTAGTTGTTGATTTTTGGGGAGATGGAGAGAAGTGAGGCAGTGAATTGAGCAATTGGAAAATCCAATGCCTTTTCCTTTCAGTTTCAACTCTTTCATCTGCCACCTTGAAAGATCAAAGTGTACATGCTAATTGTGGGATTTATTTTTAATAGGATTTTAAATTATTTTTATTGTGAAGATGTTCAGCAATTTACTGTGCCATACACAAAGTTGCAGCTTGCTGCTTCCAATATTTTTATATTTCATATTCTGGGCACTTAGGTAATTTGTCTATGGAAGGCTCTGTTGCAGGAAAAAAAAAATCTACATTTAAACCATACTGATTTTAAGCTTTTAGAAAATGATTCAGAGATGATAATGTAATACATTATCAAATTCTTTATTTATGCCCAGTTATTATAAAAACTGCTTCCTCACTATTATCAGTGCTTTTGAGAAGTTCAGCAAAAACACACAACTAAGACCAGCCATTAAGCCTGCTATTGTAAAAGGTTTACTTTTTTTAGTTTCAGCACAGACTCCTGAAGACCCTCACATTTACAGAATGAGTAATTCTAAAATGGAGAATTTAATCTGTAAAGACCTCCAAAATGCTTTTCCTTTCAAAATTTGGCTGATTTTAGAGATAGAACAAAATAATCTGAAACCCAAAGATCTGACATTGCTTGGTTAGTTTCCATATTAAAACAGCAAAGTGAATTAAGTGCTATAATAAAACCTAGTTTTTAGCATACTGCGTTTGTGTGTGATATTACACATATGTAGTTTTTCAGTCTAATGGAATGAATCAAACTGGATCTATAACAAACAAACAAAAAACCAAACCCGTTGCTGTCAAGTCGATTCCGACTCATAGTGACCCTATAGGACAGAGTAGAACTGCCCCATAGGGTCCCAAGGCTGTAAATCTTCACAGAAGCGGACTGCCACATCTTTCTCCCTCGGAGCAGCTGTTGGGTTTGAACCACCGACCTTTCGGTTGGTAGCTGAGCACTTTAACCACTACACCACCAGGGCTCCTTATAATACTGAAAAAACCCCACATTAATGGACTTCCACAGAGAGTGCTCTGCTGTAGTAATATAAAGTTAAAAAAAAAAGTATAAAGGTAAGATGCTAAATTCCATGAAATGCATATTTAGTAATCTGTTGTGTGTTCAGTAAGAAAAAGTAAGATTTTGCAAACCAAGAAAATGAAAAATACTGATAAAGATTTTCTGTGTCTTTTGGATCAAGAAGTATTTAGTTTTTCAGTCAAAACAATCATTTCTAATTTCTGAACACAATGTTACTGCTGCAATAAAGTGACCTTATGGGCCTACATTTTTGTTTTGTTCAATCCAGACAGTTTTCTGAGGGGAAAAGAATACAGAACTCTGCTTTCTGTCTCATCAACCTAATTCTGAAATTCAAAAGGTTCTAGCATTTGAGGACATCAACCCCTATAAGAAGGGATAATTCTTTACAGAAACTCTGGATGAGATACTGTCTTAGTTATCTAGTGCTGCTATAACAGAAATACCACAAGTGGATGGTTTTAACCAAGAGAAGTTTATTTCCTCACAGTCAAAGTAGGCGAAAAGTCCAAATTTAGGCCGTCAGCTCCAGGGGAAGGCTCGCTCTCTCGACCTTCTCATCAGTGTTCCCCCCAACGAGGGGCATCTCGGCCCAGGGATCCCGGTCCAAAGGACATTCTCTGCTCCTGGCACTGCTTTCTTGATGGTATGAGGTCCCCCTGTCTCACTGCTCACTTCTGTCTTTTATATCTCAAGAGATTGCCTCAGGACACAATCCAGTCTTGTAGATCAGGTCCTGCCTTACTAACACAACTGCCA